CTTGACTTTCTTCATTTATGCCAATTTCTGGCCCCAGCCTTGTCAGGCTCTTTTCTAGGGCTCTATAAAATTTTGAGAACCGCTATTTTAGGAAATGATCGATCACATATGTATGTATCTACGCAAACAGTTAGATTCTGACAAAGAATATTTTCGCATATGTCCACCTGGCTCCCCACTGTGTTGCGGTTTTCACCATCGGAAAGAGCAGCTCGTGGGACGTTTATCCATGTAGAAAGTATATTTTTCCGAAGAGGTTTTCCCGGCAGACCTCGTCCGCTAAATCCGTAGTACCTCAAAATTAGTCGACAAAAAACTTTTTTTTCAAATGGGTCATAGATTATTGACTATCCTGATTCCGAATATCACCGTGCTAGCTGCTCTTAGGTTTTTAGAGAGCGTTTTTCTGGAAAACCAGTTTTTCAGAAACTGTAAAAAATAATCCAAATTTTTTCTTAATGAGTTAGGATCGTAGCCCGTAAGGAAAAAACTGATGTAGGCCTTCTCTGGTAAGTTCTATAACTTTGCAAAGGAAGGTCTTGTAGAGCTGGAAGGTGTCTCATTTTAATCAGAAATTTACGGGCTAAGATTCTAACTCATTAAGAAAACGTTTTGGTTATTTTTTACAGTTTTCGAAAAACCGGTTTTCCAGAAAAACGCTCTCTGAAAACCTAAGAGCAGCTGGTATGGTGATATTCGGGATCAGGATACTCAATAATCTATGACCTACTTGAAAAAAAGTTTTTTTGTCTACTAATTTTGAGGTACTACGGGTTGACCGGACGAGATCTGCCAGGAAAACCTCTTCCGAAAAATATACTTTCTACACGGATAAACGTCCCACGAGATGCTCTTTCCAATGGTGATAAGCGCAGCTCTCTAGGTCTTTTCGTTCCGGAGTTATAAGCGTTTTGCTCACTCATCGTATTTTCAGAAATGGACAATAGTATCTGTATAGCAGTGCGCGCCACAACAGCAGCACTTCATATTATATATCGAAGGTGTTAATACTGTATCTGTTTTGGAAAGTAATTCATCACTAACAATTTCTGACTCTTTTACTAACATCGTCTGATTTTGCCTTTAAATTGTAGACACGTCGTTACGTAGTTGACTGTGTCGAAAGTGTGCAAAAAGAGAATTCAAAGGAAGACTGCGATGCAGTAATTGGTATAAAATTAAAATTTTGGCCTCAGATAACTCATTCACGTTTGAATCAACTACGTCAGAATAGACATTAGATTTATGATATTATTAAAAGTGGAATTGTCTATCTAATACCGAAATGGTGCGGCGTACAAATTTGGATGATAATGCACCCTATGAATTCCGTTACTCTTTTTCAGGAGTTGAAGACCTATTGGCTAAGAGTCGTACAGTAACGGAGCAGACATGGAATAAAATCGCTCATACATTACTCTATAAGTATATAAGAAAATTGAACTCTGAGGACGAAGTTGATGTCGAAAACACACCAAATTATGTGAAATCATATTTTATAAAGACATGTGTCTTATGGATATGCGAAGAACATAATATTATCGGGTGTGCCATAATAAACTGGATTAAATGTTACTGCATTTTTTTCGTACTTCTTCTTCAAATAAAAAGTTCCTTTACATACCAAAAGATAGAAAATTGAATTCTCTACAAAACCTGCTATCTGACTCTCTGAGAGCATTTTCCTTGTTTGAGCACCATTCAAAATATTGAAGGGTGCTGAGCTATTGAACTGCGGCACACTGAAAATAGAAAAACATTTGCCTTGATTCAAAACAGATTCCACAAGAATTTTGAAAACGTTAGAAGATTCACCGGAAAATTTTGCATCTTCTCACATATTTTTTGAAATTTTGCAGTTAAATCTTCTAGAAAAATTTCTTTGTGCAAAAAGCTGATAAATCTAAAAAAACCTAACTTTTGAACCTATTTTTCATAGACGTCTATAAAAGCAGTAAAACGTTCTGAGTCCAGGGTTTTAGTCTTATTATCTTACATAGAATTAAATTCTATGTCTTTTGATATATAAACAAAGTTTTTCAATTGAAACCATCGATTAAAAAACTTAATTTAATTTGAAAAAATTGAAAAGCAGGTTGAAAACTAATTATGAGGCCAACTGACGTAGTGGAAACATTGCATGAGGTTGTAAATGAGTGAGATCGATAAAGCTCTATCTTTCTACTTAGAAAAAATTAATTATTGAACCTCAGACAATGGGCTAAAAATCTAAAAAAACCGAGACGACAAAAGCACGTTACAGTTCGACAGCTCAGCACCCATCAATATTTTGAATGGTGCTCAAACAAGAGAAATGCTCTCAGAGATTCAGATAGTAGGTTTTGTAGAGAATTCAATTTTCTACCTTTTGGTAATTGAATAAAACAGTAGAACATGAAACTTCTAACACCTGTAAAATCCTTAAAAAGAGAAGAATATTATCTGGAAACAAGTTTCGGACTGATCATATACTTTAGTTTAGGCAATACTCGCAGAAACAATCGAAACTGAACAAAGAAAAAATTCCAGAATACTTGTGTTCTTCATTCAGCCCATCAACTTCAGAGCGACTGACAAAAAAAATGTAATAAAATTATTGCTACACATTGTCACAAGAAGTGTTTCGATAACCAGGACTGGGCGAGTCTGAGTTCGGGCTGAAAATTTTTCAGTGAATTTGGACTCGGATTGGAGGAGTTTTTGTCTTTGCTTCGAGTCCGATTGATTCAAGTTCTTACATAAAAGAACAGGAAAATTTTCAGTTTTTCAATATCAGTAAGGGATGTGTAATGGAAGTTCACTTATGTAACTTTGTCTGTTATAATTGGAATGATTACGATATAGGAGAAAATAAATATGAATAACGACAATCAAAAAGATTTGAAAAAATTATCGGACTCGGTTAATCGCCTTAACATCTGAGAAAAATACATCCAACGAGGGAGATCCACAAACTGTCAATCCCATTAGCCTGCAGCAATTTTTAGTACACCCGGCAGAGAATTTCATTTTCTGCAAAATTCAGTATAGTACATTGGAATACAACCTTCAAAACAGGTTGAAAAGTACTCAATCATGAGTACCACTAGAATTAGTATATTCATGAAAAATGTTGTAAACATTATTTTCATTTGTATAAAGTCATGTTTTACCATCTATAGGTAAAAGCAAGTTAAGAAAGTTGTTTATGAACAGGTAGGATATGAACGGTCGGACGTAGAAAATAAGTAGTAGATTTTTTTTATTTATATTTTTAAAACCTGATCAATCTCAGGTTTTGTTCCGTTTCGAATGACGTGTAACTTAAGAAAATCAAATCTATGGTAATATCTCTAGAATTAAAAGAACAAGAAACATAGAATTCTTCTATTTTTGAAAAAATTTCTCGGTACTTCTTTTTAGAAAACATTTTTCTCACTGAGGAAAAGTTTCTAAAAGCAAAAAACTTGAATTTGCAGCTGATGAACATCTTATTTAAAAGGAATTTTACCTTTTAAAGGTTTTATCGCTTTTCTCCATCAGTTCGAAAATAGTCTCTTAATGACATCAGCATGCCTTACTTTATGAATCAAACATACATCTGATTTACATAGAGGAATGCATCCAGGTATGCACGATGTCTTACGAAGACACTATAGATGCATAGAACTGGAGTGCAGGCGCCCGCGTAAGGCATAAACCACTTCAGGCTCATTTTCTTAAAAATTGGACCTCTTTTCTCGCAGTGTATTTGCATCGATAACTGCAGATGACTGTCAAGATGCGCTATACTATCATTCACACCACTTAGAGCACATACTGGCAAAGACAGAACTTATGTTTGAATAAAATGTGTTCTAAAAAATACTTGGCAACACCTTAACCTGCAGCATCCCCGTGGCAGAAGGGTTTACTCAATTCAAACACACCAGTACGACAAGATGAGTGAAAGTCCGAATTATTTTCACAAAGAAGATCAGCATCTCGAGTTGCACCAAGAAACGTTTTCAGAATGGACGATGAATAATGCACAAAGATGCAAGATTATACTTACCGGATAAAGCACAACTAATATTCACATCACAATCATCAACAACGGGAAACCTACCATTAATAATATTCGCTGCTTGAACTGGAAAACACTTTTAGATTTTACATAGTACAACGTTATTTGTAAAAAAAGCATTGATACTTGTAGAAATAGGGGGGATTCTGAATATTTAAACCATAGATCATACCAGCGACATCAGCTAAAATCTCTTCCACTTCTAGAAGTGAAAGAGAACAGAAAATTTCAAGATTTACTGAATTCAGTAGTGAAATTTGTTCGTGGTAAATCAATACAAACACCATAACATCAGAATGAGAAAATAAGTATTGAACTTATTTAGCTTGCCAGTAAAACCATTGCAATAAAAGCTTGTACAGTATAAGGGGGTGATATTTACCAATCATTTTATAATCGAAAAATCAATAAACGTTCAATCGACTATTATCTGTTCATTGAGAATCTTAATTTACAATTGGCAGGAACGTTTTACAAAACTTTAATAAATATATTGACTTGTCTATTGTGGGCTATTTCTTGACATGTTCGCCTTGCTTCAATTAATAAAATCGGGAAAAGTACAATTTAACATCTGAGAAGTAAACAATGACACAAAACTCATGGGGTTGATAGATAATGAATAACCGCTGGGCTAAGAAAATATTCACTCAAGCTGTAAACACTTTGGCCCAGCAGTTACAGTTAATCATACAAATTTCTCAGAAAAATATGCCTTCCGATATATCAACCTTAATTGCTCAATAAACTGTTACAGAGTCTCTGGAGTTGGCATTTCGGTTTATCAAGGATGTGCTATTATCGGATCCGAACTGATTTGAGAACAAATTGATCCGTTGTGGACTTCGAACGTCAACTTTCCAAAACATTAAGTTTCCCTGCTATTCTCAAAATCCTTTAACCTCTGTTCAACCTCTACATCTGTTGAGTCGAGATACTTGGATTCTAAAATAACTTAAATTTCCAGATTTAAAAATTCCATTAAAACATCAGTTTTAGTCGATCTCATGAAATTGTTTTCTTCAACCTGCTGCTTAAAGATTAGCGAACGTAAAAATGCTTTTACAAAAATTGCCTGCTTTTGAGCATTTTTAGAGATAAAATTTTCATATATACTTGAAGCAAAAAGCCCTTCGCTTTTTTTAAAAACTACTGCCGGTACTGGAAATTTCTGCATTCCCATCTAAATGTAGAACAACATGGCTTCAAAACATTAAGTGTTTGAAGCCATACCTTAGGTGTTTCTAGTGTCGATTTGCACACGGTTGCTTCCACATTTTTTCGAATTTCATCATGTTCATTAAATGTACCTTCTTGTACATAGCGATCAAAACATAGACACTATAATAGCACAAAACACAAATTAGTAAAAAAACATTTTCGTAATTAATAACAACAGACAAAAATATACACGTTCGAGTATTTTATCCGATTTCCGTCAAATCGTGAATTATCATGTTAGATTCCATATTTATCCGTTAGTCGAAATCTTTAGTAACAAACTGAAGGAGCAGACTTAAGAAACCTGAAAGCTATTCTAATCAAAAACCTTTAGTCTACAAAAAGAAATCTCCACATATTCAACGGTACTTTCCGAAATCGATGTATTTCAATAACCAAATTCCAGCATCAAATACCGCTCGGCTATATAACAAAACAAACATTATTAATAAATACTCCGAGGTATGTAATGACTTTCCGAAAAAGGTCTATATCAGCAAGCTTTTTGTTTCGACCCTCGTGCTGTGTTTCACGAAGTTTATGACAAAGTATGCTTTTATAAACAGAAAATCCTTCATGTCTAATGACATCTTGAAGAGAATAGTTGATTAATTGACACCTCATCACAAACAGTCAACACAGCAATTTCATTTAGTGAGTAGTAATTGTAATACGGCAACACACAAGCTGTCATTAGAATTCTTTTTCTTAAAATAAATATAGTTTAAATTAAATAAACATTGACCAAAGAATCACAGTTTTCTTACATGCTGTACGACAGTCTACCTAATTTTCTGGTCAGAAGATACAGTATTCTTTATTAGTGAACGTGTACAATCAAGCGTTAAGCTGGATGCAAATGTTAAAAGCTAACAAATTCTCAGTAGAACATAGAACAAATCGAATTCCAATGCTTACATTTATTTTCCATTCTTAGTTGACTTTATTCGTACTTGTCCAATAGTTTTGATGGTTAGTATACCATTCAATTGTTTTTCGTACTCCTTCATTAAATGGTACTTGCTCTTTCCAACCTAATAAGTCGAGAGCTTCGGTTGTTACAAAATAATAGCGACAATCTCTGAAATTGCGACCGTTAACATGTGTAATTGCATCGCTAATTTTCATGTCTGGTTTCATTATTTTTAAAAGAATATCAGCTATTTCAAGTACTGTATGCACATTTTTTGTACCAATATTATAAATCATTTTTGGTTTCCCTTTTAGTAGAATTAATTCAATTGCTTTCACGGTATCATCAACATAAATATAATTTCTTGCTTGTTTACCATCACCATGTATTGCCATTCTTTCTCCATGTAATATTGCTGTAACGAACGTTGGTATTACTTTTTCAATATATTGATACGGTCCGTAAACATTACTAATCCTTGTAATACAATAGGGTAGTTTGAAACTTTCACCATAAGATTTGATCAAAAATTCAGCGGCTGCTTTAGTTGCCGCGTAAGGGTTTGTCGGATTTAACACCGATCTTTCGTGACAACTGCCTATAATAAATTATTCACGACAGATCTTTCAACGTGATTCTGCTAAGCAAACGTCAGAATTTATTTTTTCAACCATTATTATCTTCAGTATGATTTTACAAACTTTTGTCCAAAGATGACCTACAGATTATTAACATTTTGTTTTAGATTTTCAATTCAAACCCTCGTTTCACTGCAGATTCGTAAATTTTATACTTTTTCTGCAACATATCTTCTCCCCTTTTCTGGCATGTAGGAGAGAAAGGAAAATGACTAAAGTCTCGGCAATATTCGTACGAAGCATGTTTGTTTGAACTTACCGACCTGAGATTTTTCATATACTTCATCAGTGCTAGCAAATACAAATTTATGCAGTTTTCCGTAGATACGACTCGCTTCAAGAACATTGTGCGTTCCAAAAACGTTTGACTCAGTAAACGTTAGACTGTTTCCAAATGATGTATCAAGATGCGTTTGAACTAGAAAAATGGGGAAAGAAAACGGAGCGTACATAAATGTGTCAAATGTAGACTTCTCTTCGTCTTACCCGCAAAATGTGCGACATGCGTTATATTATTTTGTATCATCAAATGCAGCATTAAATCCTTATTGTTAATATCAGCTACAATCAGTTTGTAGTTTGCTGAATTAGCATTTTCAATATTTTTTGGATTTGCACAAGCATCTAAACGATCAACATTAATTATTTTATCAGCTGAATAAGTTTTCAGCCAATAATTAATAAAATTACTGCCAATAAACCCACACCCTCCGGTTACCAACAGATTTCTCGCATCCGATGAATCGGAAGTGGCATGTTTTAACGCTCGTTGTGTGCATATTTTTTCGATACTTTTGGATAATTCTGGCAATTCAGATGGCACATTATACATTTTTAGTGTTTCAGAAGATATCGTTTTAATCCATTGCTCTAATTTATCTGTTGATAAAACATTGTTTGAACGTTTTGCTGCTAGTCGCTGATTTTGTTCTGACAGGGGCTCTAAAGTGTATTCATGAAGTGTACCGCTTTTCTCAGCATTGACTTTTAGGATCCATTCGTGATCGATCCATCCTTTATTGCATGCATTTACACATCCACCCACTTTTCCTTCGTGGGTCAAGGCCAATAGAGTGGGTAATATGTCAGACATAACGGTCATGCTATTCGGCATTGATGTAATCTTTTTATAGCCAAGAACTTTGGTTATCAAATCTTTTGAACTATTCTCATCATAAATTGGCATACGAATGCGTGCACTTCAAATAAAGAAGACGATAACTCCTAGGTTAATAACCAAACTACACTCCGTTCACTTATGAGACTAAAGATATTATATGATACACTCGGAAGAATATTCTTATTCTATCTTTATTCTGAATATCTTTATTCTGTAACGGTTGATTCAAGAAGATTCGTTCTCTTAACGCTGCTGGGGATCGATTCATAGTCCCTTGAGTTGATTTACTATTTCTTCTCAAAGTTTTCAAGGTCAAATGAAAAAATCAAGCTCAAACGGACGTTGAGACGTATTCTTTCCTTTAAATACACTGGATAACAACTAGAAAAACTTACTTAATGACATGAGGGTGTGCACTTAATAATCGGTCAGTTGCACTTTTAATAACAGCATATGACGATCCAAAAAAGTTTGGTTCGTCGTTCTCAGTAAATGGATGAGATAGATCATTCGAATCTTCATATTCGTATATGCTTCCCGATCCGATATAAAGTGTTGGAATCGGCGCAAACAATTTTGCAGTTCGCGATGTCGCCTGGGCAATAAACACTGGAGCCATTAAGTTATGATGTAAGTTTTCTCGCCATTTGCCAGGCTCCTCAAGGTAGTCAATTGTTGGTATATCACTACCATGAGTTCGACCGATTGCGCATATCACACGATCGGGTTTATACTTTGAGATGTCTTCGTCTACATCTTCCAACATCAAAACTCTTCTACCACTGATCACACTCTGACCGGCAATATGTAATATTTCACAACACAGACTACCAATCGAGCCCGACGAGCCATAGATTAACCAAAGCATGTATATCTATCTATACAGTATCTATAAAAAGCTGTGTTCAAAAGTAGTTATACAACCTTTAAACCGTAATATTAACTTGAACTCTTTCCATACTGACAGTTTAAAGTAAGCTTAACTTCGCAATGTGCTCAGCCTTTACAGCGAAAACGAGACTCCTCATTCCAGCTCAGTGTACTGCAGCGCAACTACCGACACCGGCTATCCATTTGAATTCAATGTCATAAAAAGGTATTAAGTGAATCTTTGAATATGAGCAGCTCAAAGTGACTTTAACATATTTTATTCTAATTATATAAGAACAGTTTTGCCAAAAGATTCTTTCCCCTTTCTGCGTCTTTTCATGTAAAAAGTTTTCATTCTTACGATGAGGTTAGTGCAACATAATTAAAACAAACTGCGGCATACAAATCTTGTCGAACTTAGTACCCGACGCTATGTGTACAAAAACAAACGGAAACATAAATATATATTCAAATCCGATTTGAGCAAAGCCTATTTTTACAGAAAAAGTTGTCTCCCTGTAGCATTGATAGTATAAAAACTGGAACTGTGAGTAAATGTGCGCGAAGAAACAAGACTTTCGCTCGTTTCTGACAAGGTATCTATGATTGAATCTTGGTTATCTTCACATTAAAGCCGTATCAAATAAGACATGTGGAAAAGAAAATTTCTTACGTTTCTCTCGGATTTAGTTCCCTTTCATTTAGTTGTCTATATCAATTAATTAATTAAGGAAAAGGAAATATATATACTTGCTTTCTATCCTGCCATTTAGTTAAGGAGAGTAATGTAAATGCAAACGATGCGTGTAGTGATGACTACAAATATTGGCAATGTGTTTTGAATGAATCTTATGGTGTCGGCTTCCACATGGTACAATCAAAACATTTTCTTCAATCATTATATCAAAGATATTCTGAAGAAAAAATAGATCTGGTTTCAATAGATTCGGGTTCAAATACATTCTGGTTTCTTTTCAACGCAGCACGACTTAGATATGTCAAATATTTAGAAGAAAATTGCTACAACCATTTGTATCTGATTCCAACCTTTCCATTTATACTATGCTTTTGTCAATCGTTTGTCATGTATTCTGTTATTGTACTATCTACATTTACTGTTAAGCCAACACAACAAGGTTCTTAAACACACTTCCAATATTTGTAGTCATCGCTATATATGCATTGTTTGCATTTACATTACTCTCCTTAACTGAATCACAGAAGATGGAAATAGAAAACAAGGATATATTTGTCGTTTTCTTTCGTCCACGAAAAACAAGGCTAAAACAAGAGTATTTCATCTCATAATCTCAAACTTCTCTTTTGCGTCTAATTTTATGTAGGGACAGGCGAAAAAGAAACAGACAAAACAACGATAGCATAGGATCTGGTAAGAAGAATAGTCACCTGAAACCGTTGATATGACAGAGAAGACTTTCACGAGAGTATTATTTTATTCTAAATGTAATCCTAGTGCTCGAAAATAATCGTTTGTTTATTACTTTGTGATCTAGAATGCCGTCATTGCCATTTCATCCCATCGCCTCATTTTGTGCCGATATATCCCAGCACTTTTATAATGAATGTTTTTACGGACTGCCGATTCTTGTTCTCTTATTTATGTTCGTTAGTTTTCTGAAGAACAAAAATTATGAAGAACAGAAAATGTCGGAAGAATAAAAAGTCAGTGAAGAATAAAAATGAGCTGAAGAACATATATTTTTTTCTTCATTTTCCAAAGGACTTATGTGTTCTTCAACGTGTTCTTTTTAAAATCGAAGAACAAAGATTTTTAACAGTCTAGCATAGGTTATCTTCGATCATTATTTTTTGGATATTCTTTCTACCGTCTCGATCGACCTACTTTTGCACGAGCGAGGCGTAGCAGAGTATATTTCAAATTCTTTACTACGTGCCCTACTAGCAAATGATTCTCAATTAGAAAAAATAATCAAACTTTGCGGTATATACCAGAGTCGGGATATTTTGATATATCAACCAAACACTTATCGAATGATTTTTAATCGTAATCGCCTATATAGTTCATTCTTACTATAGCAATAGTCGGAGAGAAGCACAAAAATGAAAATAGGTTGACTGAGTGAACAAACAAGCTGTCATTGAATGATTTTTTTCACTTTTATTCTTTTTCATTTTTTCTTAAACATTTTTTCTCGCTCCGATTCTATCTCAAACAAACACAAGCCATAACGACGGGATGAAATGAAAAAATTACTTACACATATATAAATTTCCGTTTGTATAATGATTTATACACTGAATACAATCTTTTATAAAGACATTTCTTTGCTTGTTCAGAAGCTAAAATGTTGTTCTGTTCTCACATAATTAATGTCAGATGTCATATACATGTACTGAATACGGTTACGTTTATTTTAAAATGTTCTCTATTCAATTGTCCACAAAATCATATATTAGTATTACTGTTTAACTAGGCACGCTAAGCTTGAACTTAAAAAAAGTGAAAGTAAAATGTTCCAGAACTGTAAAAAGAAGTAATTGTTTTTACAAAAAAGGAGGGAAACGGTTTCTTCCAGAAAATGATCTAATATGATTTTAAGTGAAAATGATCGGAAATGCTTCCTTTCGCACTTCTCAACACGTCTGACTTTCAAAAGGATATTTCTATTTTTTTATCAAGAAAAGAAAAAGTATTTGACTTTTTCTTTCGTATCTCCTTGAAAAAGATATTTATTATTTTTCGTCACCAGTTCAACGAAGGTCATTCACTTTGTTCCGCAAATTATTCGTACGATTTCAAAGACATTGATCAAACTCATATATTGAAAGAGAGAGAATTTTTCACGCTTCAACATTCATAAATAACCTTTTCAAAAATATGCCCATATAGAACAATTATCCAAATATTCCACACATATCATCATCTTCACCTATTCTAACGCTGTAAAAAAGCACTTTTTTGACGTATGACGCATGTGTGCTTTGCTTTTGAACTTTATTGTAGTTCACATAGGGAACACAGTTTTAAAAAATAACAAATCAAGTTAAAGAATATGTATCTCCAATTACATTATATACGTTATATATCAGATATGTGCTTGTCCTAGACGGCTACGTTTGGCCCTTCTTGCGACGCCCTCTAACGGATAGTTGCAAGTAGCGCCAAAATAAAATTATGTTACCGGACTTTGATATGACCCCGTGAAAGTGTGATTCGGACTAGATTTCTTTGGACTGAGATAGGCTTCTGACCCATGTGTAGGAGTGCGGCCGTAGCGCTTTTCGTTCTCACGTACCAGCGGTAAGTCATCACTTGACGTTCTTATTTTTATCCACTAAATTAAGATCCTTAAACTAGTGATATCTTCATTTTTGACCAAGGCGTCAGATAGGATTAGAGACCTGCAGTCCGGCCGGATCCTAGGGTTGGGTTCGGGTTAAGTTGTTGTCGGGTCGGGTTCGGGTTGAATATTTGGCGACGCAATTTAAAATATAATAATATTTTTAGCTTTGTGTACTGGTTGAAAGTTATCTTTACTGGAATTTCCAGTTGAAAGACTTGTTTCAGAACAACTGCATCTACTAAGTCGATTAATGATTGCTTTCTTTGCACATAAGAGAGTGCTTCCCGCACTGAAATCAAGGGTAATACATCCCTTACTGCTTTTTTTCAATCTACTTTTTAAACACCTGTACGTACAAAAATAAGATAATAAAAATAAGAACGTCAAGTGATGACTTAGC